GCAGTGTTGAGTCTATGGTGCAGTGTTGAGTCTGTGGTGCAGTGTTGAGTCTATGGTGCAGTGTTGAGTCTATGGTGCAGTGTTGAGTCTATGGTGCAGTGTTGAGTCTATGGGCAGTGTTGAGTCTATGGTGCAGTGTTGAGTCTATGGTGCAGTGTTGAGTCTATGGTGCAGTGTTGAGTCTATGGGCAGTGTTGAGTCTATGGTGCAGTGTTGAGTCTATGGTGCAGTGTTGAGTCTATGGGCAGTGTTGAGTCTATGGTGCAGTGTTGAGTCTATGGTGCAGTGTTGAGTCTATGGTGCAGTGTTGAGTCTATGGTGCAGTGTTGAGTCTATGGTGCAGTGTTGAGTCTATGGTGCAGTGTTGAGTCTATGGTGCAGTGTTGAGTCTATGGGCAGTGTTGAGTCTATGGTGCAGTGTTGAGTCTACGGGGCTGTGTTGAGTCTATGGTGCAGTGTTGAGTTTATGGACAGTGTTGAGTCTATGGGTAGTGTTGAGTCTATGGTGGAGGGTTGAGTCTATGGTGCAGTGCTGAATCTATGGTGCAGTGTTGAGTCTATGGGCAGTGTTGAGTCTCTGGGCAGTGTTGAGTCTATAGGAAATATTGAGTCTATGGTGCAGTGTTGAGTCTATGGACAGTGTTGAGTCGATGGTGCAGTGCTGAGTCTATGTTGCAGTGTTGAGTCTATGGGCAGTGTTGAGTCTATGGTGCAGTGTTGAGTCTATGGTGCTGTGTCTAGTCTATGGGTAGTGTTGAGTCTATGGGGCAGTGTTGAGTCTATGGTGCAGTGTTGAGTCTATGGTGCAGTGTTGAGTCTATGGTGCAGTGTTAAGTCTATGGTGCAGTGTTGAGCCTATGGTGCAGTGTTGAGTCTATGGTGCAGTGTTGAGTCTATGGTGCAATGTTGAGTCTATGGTGCAGTGTTGAGTCTATGGGCAGTGTTGAGTCTATGGTGCAGTGTTGAGTCTATGGGCAGTGTTGAGTCTATGGTGCAGTGTTGAGTCTATGGGCAGTGTTGAGTCTATGGTGCAGTGTTGAGTCTATGGTGCAGTGTTGAGTCTATGGTGCAGTGTTGAGTCTATCGGTGCAGTGTTGAGTCTATGGTGCAGTGTTGAGTCTATGGGCAGTGTTGAGTCTATGGTGCAGTGTTGAGTCTATGGTGCAGTGTTGAGTCTATGGTGCAGTGTTGAGTCTATGGGCAGTGTTGAGTCTATGGTGCAGTGTTGAGTCTATGGTGCAGTGTTGAGTCTATGGGCAGTGTTGAGTCTATGGTGCAGTGTTGAGTCTATGGTGCAGTGTTGAGTCTATGGTGCAGTGTTGAGTCTATGGTGCAGTGTTGAGTCTATGGTGCAGTGTTGAGTCTATGGTGCAGTGTTGAGTCTATGGTGCAGTGTTGAGTCTATGGGCAGTGTTGAGTTTATGGTGCAGTGTTGAGTCTATGGGGCTGTGTTGAGTCTATGGTGCAGTGTTTGGTTTATGGACAGTGTTGAGTCTATGGGTAGTGTTGAGTCTATGGTGTAGTTTTGAGTCTATGGGCAGTGTTGAGTCTATGGTGCAGTGTTGAGTCTATGGTGCAGTGTTGAGTCTATGGGTAGTGTTGAGTCTATGGTGCTGTGTCTAGTCTATGGGTAGTGTTGAGTCTATGGTGCAGTGTTGAGTCTATGGGCAGTATTGAGTCTCTGGTGCAGTGTTGATTCTATGGGCACTGTTGAGTCTATGGTGCAGTGGTCAGTCTATGGGCAGTGTTGGGTCTATGGTGCAGTGTTGAGTCTATGGTGCAGTGTGGAGTCTATGGTGCAGTGTTGAGTCTATGGTGCAGTGTTGAGTCTATGGAACAGTGTTGAGTCTATCGTGCAGTGTTGAGTCTATGGTGCAGTGTAGAGTCTATGGTGCAGTGTTAAGTCTATGGTGCAGTGTTGAGTCTGTGGTGCAGTGTTGAGTCTATGGTGCAGTGTTGAGTGTATGGGCAGTGTTGAGTCTATAGGCAGTGTTGAGTCTATGGTGCAGTGTTGAGTCTATGGTGCAGTGTTGAGTGTATGGGCAGTGTTGAGTCTATAGGCAGTGCTGAGTCTTTGGTGCAGTGTTGAGTCTATGGTGCAGTGTTGAGTCTATGGGCAGTGTTGAGTCTATGGGCAGTGTTGAGTCTATACGAAATGTTGAGTCTATGGTGCAGTGTTGAGTCTATGGACAGTGCTGAGTCTATGGTGCAGTGCTGAGTCTATGGTGCAGTGTTGAGTCTATGGACAGTGTTGAGTCTATGGTGCAGTGCTGAGTCTATGGTGCAGTGTTGAGTCTATGCGCAGTGTTTAGTCTATGGTGCAGTGTTGAGTCTATGGTGCAGTCTTGAGTCTATGGTGCAGTGTTGAGCGTATGGCAGTGTTGAGTCTGTGGTGCAGTGTTGAGTCTACAGGCAGTGTTGAGTCTATGGTGCTGTGTTGAGTCTATGGTGCAGTGTTGAGTCTATGGTGCAGTGTTGTGTCTATGGAGCAGTGTTGAGTCTATGGTGCAGTGTTGAGTCTATGGGCAGTGTTGAGTCTATGGGCGGTGTTGAGTCTATGGGCAGTGTTGAGTCTATGGACAGTGTTAAGTCTATGGTGCAGTGTTAAGTCTATGAGCAGTGTTGAGTCTATGGTGCAGTGTTGAGTCTATGGGCAGTGTTGAGTCTATGGTGCAGTGTTGAGTCTATGGTGCAGTGCTGAATCTATGGTGCAGTGTTGAGTCTATGGGCAGTGTTGAGTCTCTGGGCAGTGTTGAGTCTATAGGAAATATTGAGTCTATGGTGCAGTGTTGAGTCTATGGACAGTGTTGAGTCGATGGTGCAGTGCTGAGTCTATGTTGCAGTGTTGAGTCTATGGGCAGTGTTGAGTCTATGGTGCAGTGTTGAGTCTATGGTGCTGTGTCTAGTCTATGGGTAGTGTTGAGTCTATGGGGCAGTGTTGAGTCTATGGTGCAGTGTTGAGTCTATGGTGCAGTGTTGAGTCTATGGTGCAGTGTTAAGTCTATGGTGCAGTGTTGAGTCTATGGTGCAGTGTTGAGTCTATGGTGCAGTGTTGAGTCTATGGTGCAGTGTTGAGTCTATGGGCAGTGTTTAGTCTAATGGGCAGTGCTGAGTCTATGGTGCAGTGTTGAGTCTATGGTGCAGTGTTGAGTCTAAGTTGCAGTGTTGAGTCTATGGGCAGTGTTGAGTCTATGGTGCAGTGTTGAGTCTATGGGCAGTGTTGAGTCTATGGTGCAGTGTTGAGTCTGTGGTGCAGTGTTGAGTCTATGGGCAGTGTTGAGTCTATGGTGCAGTGCTGAGTCTATGGTGCAGTGTTGAGTCTATGGGCAGTGCTGAGTCTATGGTGCAGTGTTGAGTCTATGGGCAGTGTTTAGTCTATGGGCAGTGCTGAATCTATGGTGCAGTGTTGAGTCTATGGGCAGTGTTGAGTCTATGGGCAGTGCTGAGTCTATGGTGCAGTGTTGAGTCTATGGGCAGTGTTGAGTCTATGGTGCAGTGTTGAGTCTATGGGCAGTGTTGAGTCTATGGGCAGTGCTGAGTCTATGGGCAGTGTTGAGTCTATGGTGCAGTGTTGAGTCTATGGGCAGTGTTGAGTCTATGGTGCAGTGTTGAGTCTATGGTGCAGTGTTGAGTCTATGGGCAGTGTTGAGTCTATGGTGCAATGTTGAGTCTATGGTGCAATGTTGAGTCTATGGGCAGTGTTGAGTCTATGGTGCAGTGTTGAGTCTATGGTGCAGTGCTGAGTCTATGGTGCAGTGTTGAGAATATGGTGCAGTGTTGAGTCTATGGTGCAGTGTTGAGTCTGTGGTGCAGTGTTGAGTCTATGGGCAGTGTTGAGTCTATGGTGCAGTGCTGAGTCTATGGTGCAGTGTTGAGTCTATGGGCAGTGCTGAGTCTATGGTGCAGTGTTGAGTCTATGGGCAGTGTTTAGTCTATGGGCAGTGCTGAGTCTATGGTGCAGTGTTGAGTCTATGGGCAGTGTTGAGTCTATGGGCAGTGTTGAGTCTATGGTGCAGTGTTGAGTCTATGGGCAGTGTTGAGTCTATGGTGCAGTGTTGAGTCTATGGGCAGTGTTGAGTCTATGGGCAGTGCTGAGTCTATGGGCAGTGTTGAGTCTATGGTGCAGTGTTGAGTCTATGGGCAGTGTTGAGTCTATGGGCAGTGCTGAGTCTATGGTGCAGTGTTGAGTCTATGGGCAGTGTTGAGTCTATAATGTAACGTTGAGTCTATGGGCAGTGTTTAGTCTATGGTGCAGTGCTGACTCTATGGGCAGTGTTGAGTCTATGGGCAGTGTTGAGTCTATGGGCAGTGCTGAGTCTATGGTGCAATGTTGAGTCTATGGGCAGTGCTGAGTCTATAATGTAACGTTGAGTCTATGGTCCAATGTTGAAATCACGAGCGTACTAAACATGATGGACCTTCACCCTCAATAAAGTTGTATAGCAAAGAGAAGCAGTGCTGTTACAGACACAGATGCAAATCTCCCCTAGGTAGCCTCTAGCAAGGCTGTAGGGGCAAGTGCTGTTACACACACACAGAGACCGCTAGATGCTACACGGGGGATCTTTGTCCGTGTGTGTGTAACAGCACTTGCCCCTACAGCACTGCTAGAGGCTACCTGGAGGGGCTTTGTCTGTGTCTGTGTGACAGCACTTGCCCCTACAGCACTGCTAGAGGCTACCTGGGGGAGCTTTATCTGTGTGCGCGTGTAACAGCACTTGCCCCTACAGCCCTGCTAGAGGCTACCTGGGGGAGCTTTGTTTGTGTCTGTGTGACAGCACTTGCCCCTACAGCCCTGCTAGAGGCTACCTGAGGGAGCTTTGTTTGTGTGTGTAACAGCACTTGCCCCTGCAGCCTGTTAGATGCTACCTGGGGGATGTTTATCTGTGTGTGTGTTTGTACATTTAGTAAAAAAACCGGTTCAGAAACATTCTGGGCACGAAATACATTAATTATTATTATTATAATATATAAATACATTAATTAGGGTGCGGTCCTTTGGGAAGGTGAATGATTTTGTGTTTGTGTTAAGGGGTGAGTGAGTGAGTGGGTGAGTGGGTGGGTGAGTGGGTGAGTGAATGAGTGAATGAGTGAGTAAGTGGGTGGGTGAGTGAGTGGGTGAGTGAGTTGGTGAATGAGTGAGTGGGTGAGTGAGTTTGTGTTTGTGTTAGGGGGTGAGAGAGTGGGTGGGTGGGTGAGTGGGTGAGTGAGTGGATGAGTAAGTGGATGAGTGAGTGGGTGAGTGAATGAGTGAGTGAATGAGTGAGTGAATGAGTGAGTGAGTGGGTGGGTGAGTGAATGAGTGAGTGAATGAGTGAGTGAGTGGGTGGGTGAGTGAGTGGGTGGGTGAGTGAGTGGGTGAGTGAGTTGGTGAATGAGTGAGTGGGTGAGTGAGTTTGTGTTTGTGTTAGGGGGTGAGTGAGTGGGTGAGTGAGTGGGTGACTGAGTGAGTGAGTGGGTGAATGGGTGAGTGAGTGGGTGAATGAGTGGGTGGGTTAGTGTGTGGGTGATTGAGTGTGTGAGCGGGTGGTTGAGTGAGTGAGTGGGTGAATGAGTGAGTGGGTGAGTGAGCGAGTGAGTGAGTGGGTGGGTGAGTGGGTGCGTGGGTGAGTGAGTGAGTGGATGAATGTAGTGAGTGGGTGGGTGAGCGAGTGAGTGAGTGGGTGGGTGAGTGGGTGAGTGGGTGAGTGAGTGAGTGAGTGGGTGGGTGAGTGAGTGAGTGGGTGGGTGAGTGGGTGAGTGGGTGAGTGAGTGTGTGACTGAGTGAGTAATTGAGTGGGTCAGTGGGCGAGTGGGTGGGTGAGTGGGTGAGTGGGTGAGTGGGTGAGTGGGTGGGTGAGTGAGTGTGTGGGTGGGTGGGTGGGTGAGTGGGTGAGCGAGTGAGCGAGTGGGCGAGTGAGCGGGTGGGTGAGTGAGCGGGTGGGTGAGTGGGTGAGTGAGTGAGTGGGTGAGTGAGTGAGTGAGTGGGTGGGTGAGTGAGTGAGTGGGTGGGTGAGTGAGTCAGTGAGTGAGCGAGTGGGCGAGCGAGTGAGTGGGTGAGTGAGCGAGTGAGTGAGTGGGTGGGTGAGTGGGTGAGTGGGTGAGTGAGTGAGTGAGTGGATGAATGTAGTGAGTGGGTGGGTGAGCGAGTGAGTGAGTGGGTGGGTGAGTGGGTGAGTGGGTGAGTGAGTGAGTGAGTGGGTGGGTGAGTGAGTGAGTGGGTGGGTGAGTGGGTGAGTGGGTGAGTGAGTGTGTGACTGAGTGAGTAATTGAGTGGGTGAGTGGGCGAGTGGGTGGGTGAGTGGGTGAGTGGGTGAGTGGGTGAGTGGGTGGGTGAGTGAGTGTGTGGGTGGGTGGGTGGGTGAGTGGGTGAGTGGGTGAGCGAGTGAGCGAGTGGGCGAGTGAGCGGGTGGGTGAGTGAGCGGGTGGGTGAGTGGGTGAGTGAGTGAGTGGGTGAGTGAGTGAGTGAGTGGGTGGGTGGGTGAGTGAGTGAGTGGGTGGGTGAGTGAGTCAGTGAGTGAGCGAGTGGGCGAGCGAGTGAGTGGGTGAGTGAGTGAGCGAGTGGATGAGTGAGTGAGTGGGTGAGTGAGTGGGTGAGTGGGTGAGTGGGTGGGTGAGTGGGTGAGTGGGGGAGGTGAGTGGGTGAGTGGGTGAGTGAGTGAGGGAGTGGGTGAGTGGGTGAGTGGGTGAGTGAGTGAGCAAGTGGGTGACTGAGTGATTGGGTGAGTGAGTGAGTGGGTGAGTGAGTGAGTGAGTGGGTGGGTGAGTGGGTGAGTGGGTGGGTGGGTGAGTGAGTGGGTGAGTGGGTGAGTGGGTGAGCGAGTGGGTGAGCGAGTGAGGAGGTGAGTGGGTGGGTGATTGAGTGAGCGAGTGGGTGAGCGAGTGAGTGGGTGAGTGAGTGAGCGAGTGGATGAGTGAGTGAGTGAGTGGGTGAGTGGGTGGGTGAGTGAGGGAGTGGGTGAGTGGGTGAGTGGGTGAGTGAGTGAGCAAGTGGGTGACTGAGTGAGTGGGTGAGTGAGTGAGTGAGTGGGTGAGTGAGTGGGTGGGTGAGTGGGTGAGTGGGTGGGTGGGTGAGTGGGTGGGTGAGTGGGTGAGTGGATGAGTGGGTGGATGAGTGAGTGAGTGAGTGGGTGAGTGAGCGAGTGGGTGAATGAGTGAGTGGGTGGGTGAGTGAGTGGGTGGGTGGGTGAGTGGGTGAGTGGGTGAGTGAGTGTGTGGGTGAGTGGGTGAGTGAGTGAGTGAGTGGGTGAGTGGGTGAGTGAGTGGGTGAGTGGGTGAGTGGGTGAGTGAGTGTGTGGGTGAGTGAGTGTGTGGGTGAGTGAGTGTGTGGGTGGGTGAGTGTGTGGGTGAGTGTGTGCGTGAGTGGGTGGGTGAGTGGGTGGGTGAGTAAGTGTGTTGTTAAGTGGGTGAGTGGGTGAGTGAGTGAGTGGGCTAGTGAGTGGGTGAGTGGGTGAATGATTGGCTGGGTGAGTGGGTGATTGAGTGGGTGGGTGAGTAGTGAGTGAGTGGGTGAGTTGGTGAGTGGGTGGGTGAGTGGGTTGGTGAGTGGGTGAGTGAGCATGTGGGTGAGTGAGTGGGTGAGTGAGTCGGTGAGTGGGTGAATGATTTGGTGGGTGAGTGGGTGATTGAGTGGGTGGGGGAGTAGTGGGTGGGTGGGTGAGTGGGTGAGTGAGTGGGTGAGTGAGTGAGTGGGTGAGTGAATGAGTGTGTGTCTGGGTGGGTGAGTGAGTGGGTGGGTGAGTGAGTGGGTGAGTGGGTGAGTGGGTGAGTGAGTGGGTGGGTGGGTGGGTGAGTGAGTGGTTGAGTGTGTGGGTGGGTGGGTGAGTGGGTGAGTCAGTGATTGGGTGAGTGGGTGGGTGGGTGAGTGAGTTAGTGTGTGTGAGTAGGTGAGTGAGTGAGTGGGTGGGTGAGTGAGTGAGTGGGTGAATGGGTGAGTGGGTGAGTGAGTGGGTGGGTGGGTGAGTGGGTGGGTTAGTAAGTTGGTGAGGTTTTAAGTGATATGGTGGGTGAGTGGGTGAGTGATAGGGTGGGTGAGTGGGTGAGTGGGTGAGTGGGTGAGTGGGTGGGTGAGTGAGTGTGTGGGTGGGTGGGTGGGTGAGTGGGTGAGTGGGTGAGCGAGTGAGCGAGTGGGCGAGTGAGCGGGTGGGTGAGTGAGCGGGTGGGTGAGTGGGTGAGTGAGTGAGTGAGTGGGTGAGTGAGTGAGTGGGTGGGTGGGTGAGTGAGTGAGTGAGTGGGTGGGTGAGTGAGTGAGTGAGCGAGTGGGCGAGCGAGTGAGTGGGTGAGTGAGTGAGCGAGTGGATGAGTGAGTGAGTGGGTGGGTGAGTGGGTGAGTGGGTGGGTGAGTGGGTGAGTGGGGGGGTGAGTGGGTGAGTGGGTGAGTGAGTGAGGGAGTGGGTGAGTGGGTGAGTGGGTGAGTGAGTGAGCAAGTGGGTGACTGAGTGATTGGGTGAGTGAGTGAGTGGGTGAGTGAGTGAGTGGGTGGGTGAGTGGGTGAGTGGGTGGGTGGGTGAGTGAGTGGGTGAGTGGGTGAGTGGGTGAGCGAGTGGGTGAGCGAGTGAGGGGGTGAGTGGGTGGGTGAGTGAGTGAGCGAGTGGGTGAGCGAGTGAGTGGGTGAGTGAGTGAGCGAGTGGATGAGTGAGTGAGTGAGTGGGTGAGTGGGTGGGTGAGTGAGGGAGTGGGTGAGTGGGTGAGTGGGTGAGTGGGTGAGTGAGTGAGCAAGTGGGTGACTGAGTGAGTGGGTGAGTGAGTGAGTGAGTGGGTGAGTGAGTGAGTGGGTGGGTGAGTGGGTGAGTGGGTGAGTGGGTGGGTGAGTGGGTGAGTGGGTGAGTGGGTGGGTGAGCGAGTGAGTGGGTGAGTGGGTGGATGAGTGAGTGCGTGAGTGGGTGAGTGAGCGAGTGGGTGAATGAGTGAGTGGGTGGGTGAGTGAGTGGGTGGGTGGGTGAGTGGGTGAGTGGGTGAGTGAGTGTGTGGGTGAGTGGGTGAGTGAGTGAGTGAGTGGGTGAGTGGGTGAGTGAGTGGGTGAGTGGGTGAGTGGGTGAGTGAGTGTGTGGGTGAGTGAGTGTGTGGGTGAGTGAGTGTGTGGGTGGGTGAGTGTGTGGGTGAGTGTGTGCGTGAGTGGGTGGGTGAGTGAGTGGGTGAGTAAGTGTGTTGTTAAGTGGGTGAGTGGGTGAGTGAGTGAGTGAGTGGGCTAGTGAGTGGGTGAGTGGGTGAATGATTGGGTGGGTGAGTGGGTGATTGAGTGGGTGGGTGAGTAGTGAGTGAGTGGGTGAGTTGGTGAGTGGGTGGGTGAGTGGGTTGGTGAGTGGGTGAGTGAGCATGTGGGTGAGTGAGTGGGTGAGTGAGTCGGTGAGTGGGTGAATGATTTGGTGGGTGAGTGGGTGATTGAGTGGGTGGGGGAGTAGTGGGTGGGTGGGTGAGTGGGTGAGTGAGTGGGTGAGTGAGTGAGTGGGTGAGTGAGTGAGTGTGTGTCTGGGTGGGTGAGTGAGTGGGTGGGTGGGTGAGTGAGTGAGTGAGTGGGTTAGTGGGTGAGTGGGTGAGTGAGTGGGTGGGTGGGTGAGTGAGTGGTTGAGTGAGTGGGTGGGTGGGTGAGTGGGTGAGTCAGTGATTGGGTGAGTGGGTGGGTGGGTGGGTGAGTGAGTTAGTGTGTGTGAGTAGGTGAGTGAGTGGGTGGGTGGGTGAGTGAGTGGGTGAATGGGTGAGTGGGTGAGTGAGTGGGTGGGTGGGTGAGTGGGTGGGTTAGTAAGTTGGTGAGGTTTTAAGTGATATGGTGGGTGAGTGGGTGAGTGATAGGGTGGGTGAGTGGGTGAGTGGGTAAGTGAGTGAGTCAGTGAGTGGGTGGGTGAGTGAGTGAGTCAGTGAGTGGGTGGGAGGGTGGGTGAGTGAGTGAGTGGGTGAGTGAGTGAGTGAGTGGGTGAGTGAGTGAGTGAGTGGGTGAGTGAGTGAGTGGTTGGTTGGGTGAGTGAGTGAGTGGGTGGGTGAGTGGGTGTGTGAGTGAGTGGGTGATTGGGTGAGGGAGCGAGTGGGTGAGTGGGTGAGTGAGTGAGTGAGTGGGTGGGTGAGTGGGTGTGTGAGTGAGTGAGTGGGTGAGTGAGTGGGTGAGTGGGTGAGTGAGTGGGTGAGTGAGTGGGTGAAGGAGCGAGTGGGTGAGTGGGTGAGTGAGTGAGTGAGTGGGTGAGTGAGTGAGTGAGTGAATGAGTGGGTGAGTGAGTGGGTGAGTAAGTGAGTGAGTGAGTGGGTGAGTGAGCGAGTGGGTGAGTGAGTGAGTGGGTGAGTGAGTGAGTGGGTGAGTGAGTGGGTGAGTGGGTGTGTGAGTGAGTGGGTGGGCGAGTGAGTGGGTGTGTGAGTGTGTGAGTGAGTGGGTTAGTGAGTGAGTAAGTGGGCGAGTGAGTGAGTGAGCGAGTGTGTGAGTGGGTGAGTGTGTGAGGATGTGAGTGAATGGGTGTGTGAGTGGATAAGTGAGTGGGTGTGTGACTGAGTGAGTGGGTGAGTGGGTGGGCGGGTGGGTGAGTGAGTGAGTGGGTGAGTCAGTGGGTGAGTGGGTGAGTGGATGGGTGGGTGAGTGAGTGAGTGGGTGAGTGGGGGAGTGAGTGAGTGCGTGAGTGTGTGAGTGGGTGAGTGGATGGGTGTGTGAGTGAGTGAGTGGGTGAGTGAGTGGGTGAGTGAGTGAGTGGGTGGGTGGGTGAGTGAGTGAGTGTGTGTGAGTGGGTGAGTGAGTGAGTGGGTGGGTGGGTGAGTGAGTGAGTGGGTGAATGGGTGAGTGGGTGAGTGAGTGGGTGGGTGGGTGAGTGGGTGGGTTAGTGAGTTGGTGAGGTTTTAAGTGATATGGTGGGTGAGTGGGTGAGTGATAGGGTGGGTGAGTGGGTGAGTGGGTGAGTGAGTGAGTCAGTGAGTGGGTGGGTGGGTGAGTGAGTGAGTCAGTGAGTGGGTGGGAGGGTGGGTGAGTGAGTGAGTGGGTGAGTGGGTGAGTGAGTGAGAGGGTGAGTGAGTGAGTGGTTGGTTGGGTGAGTGAGTGAGTGAGTGTGAGTGGGTGAGTGAGTGAGTGGGTGATTGGGTGTGTGAGTGAGTGAGCGAGTGAGTGGGTGAGTGGGTGAGTGAGTGGGTGAGTGAGTGAGTGAGTGGGTGAGTGAGTCAGTGGGTGAGTGAGTGGGTGAGTGGGTGTGTGAGTCAGTGGGTGGGCGAGTGAGTGGGTGAGTGAGTGTGTGAGTGGGTGAGTGTGTGAGTGTGTGAGTGAGTGGGTGAGTGAGTGAGTGGGTGTTTGAGTGGGTGTATGACTGAGTGTGTGAGTGGGTGAGTGAGTGGGTGTGTGAGTGTGTGAGTGAGTGGGTGAGTGAGTGAGTAGGTGAGTGAGTGAGTAGGTGAGTGAGTGAGTGGGTGTGTGGGTGAGTGGGTGAGTAAATGTGTGGGTGAGGGATGTGGGTGAGTGAGTGGGTGAGTGAGTTTGTGAGTGAGTGTGTGAGTGGGTGAGTGAGTGGGTGAGCGGGTGAGTGAGTGGGTGAGTGAGTGGGTGAGTGGGTGAGTGAGTGGGTGAGTGAGTGGGTGAGTGAGATGGTGGGTGAGTGGGTGAGTGAGTGAGTAGGTGAGTGAGTGAGTGGGTGAGTGAGTGAGTGGGTGAGCGGGTGAGTGGGTGAGTGAGTGAGTAGGTGAGTGAGTGAGTGGGTGAGTGAGTGAGTGAGTGGGTGAGCGGGTGAGTGGGTGAGTGTATGGGTGAGTGTGTGGGTGAGTGAGTGATTGTGTAAGTGAGTGGGTGTGTGAATGAGTGGTTGAGTGGGTGAGTAAGTGGGTGAGTGAGTGTGTGAGTCTGTGAGTGATTGTCTGAGTGAGTGGGTGAGTGAGTGAGTGGGTGAGTGAGTGAGTGGGTGATTGAGTGAGTGAGTGGGTGAGTGGGTGTGTGAGTGAGTGGGTGAGTGGGTGAGTGAGTGTGTGAGTGGATGAGTGAGTGAGCGAGTGGGTGAGTGAGCGAGTGGGTGGGTGGGTGAGTGGGTGAGTGGGTGGGTGTGTGAGTGAGCAGGTGGGTGAGTGAGCGAGTGAGCGGGTGAGTGAGTGAGTGGGTGAGTGAGTGTGTGGGTGAGTGAGCGAGTGAGTGGGTGAGTGGGTGTGTGGGTGAGTGGGTGAGTGAGTGAGTGAGTGGGTGGGGTGAGTGAGTGAATGAGTGCGTGGGTGAGTGGGTGAGTGAGTGGTTGAGTCAGTGGGTGTGTGGGTGAGTCAGTGGGTGAGTGGGTGAGTGGGTTAGTGGGTGAGTGAGTGAGTGAGTGGGTGAGTGGGTGAGTGAGTGGGTGAGTGAGTGGGTGTGTGAGTGGGTGAGTGATTCAGTGGGTGAGTGGGTGAGTGAGTGGGTGAGTGAGTGAGTGAGTGCGTGAGTGAGTGGGTGAGTGGGTGAGTGAGTGAGTGGGTGAGTGGGTGAGTAAGTGGGTGTGTGAGTGAGTGAGTGGGTGAGTGAGTGTGAGAGTGGATGAGTGAGTGAGTGGGTGAGTGTGTGAGCGAGTGGGTGAGTGGGTGAGTGAGTGTGTCGGTGGGTGGGTGAGTGGGTGAGTGGGTGAGTGTCTGAGTGGGTGAGTGTGTGAGTGAGTGGGTGAGTGAGTGAGTGGGTGAGTGAGTGAGTGGGTGAATGAGTGAGTGGGTGAGTGGGTGAGTGAGTGAGTGAGTGTGTGAGTGAGTGAGTGTGTGAGTGTGTGTGAGTGAGTGGGTGAGTGAGTGAGTGTGTGAGTGTGTGTGAGGGAGTGGGTGAGTGAGTGTGTGTGTGAGTGGGTGAGTGAGTGGGTGAGTGAGTGGGTGAGTGAGTGAGTGAGTGGTTGAGTGAGTGAGTGGGTGAGTGAGTGAGTGAGTGGGTGGGTGGGTGAGTGAGTGAGTGAGTGGGTGAGTGTGTGAGTGAGTGTGTGTGTGTGTGAGTGGGTGAGTGAGTGTCTGAGTGGGTGAGTGAGTGGGTGAGTGAGTGGGTGTGTGAGTGAGAGAGTGAGTGGGTGAGTGAGTGGGCGAGCGGGTTAGTGAGTGGGTGAGTGGGTGAGTGAGTGTGTGAGTGAGTGGGTGAGTGAGCGAGTGGGTGGGTGGGTGAGTGGGTGGGTGGGTGAGTGAGTGAGTGGGTGAGTGAGTGAGTGGGTGAGTGGGTGAGTGAGTGAGTGGGTGATTGAGTGAGTGAGTGGTTGAGTGGGTGTATGAGTGAGTGGGTGAGTGGGTGAGTGAGTGTGAGAGTGGATGAGTGAGTGAGCGAGTGGGTGGGTGGGTGAGTGGGTGAGTGGGTGGGTGTGTGAGTGCGCAGGTGGGTGAGTGAGCGAGTGAGCGGGTGAGTGAGTGAGTGGGTGAGTGAGTGTGTGGTTGAGTGAGCGAGTGAGTGGGTGTGTGGGTGAGTGGGTGTGTGGGTGATTCAGCGAGTGAGTGGGTGTGTGAGTGAGTGGGTGTGTGAGTGGGTGTGTGAGTGTGTGGTTGAGTGAGCGAGTGAGTGGGTGTGTGCGTGTGTGAGTGAGTGGGTGAGTGGGTGAGTGAGTGAGTGGGTGGGTGAGTGAGTGAATGAGTGCGTGGGTGAGTGGGTGAGTGAGTGGTTGAGTGAGTGGGTGAGTCAGTGGGTGAGTGGGTGAGTGGGTTAGTGGGTGAGTGAGTGAGTGGGTGAGTGTGTGAGTGAGTGGGTGAGTGGGTGTGTGAGTGGGTGAGTGATTGAGTGGGTGAGTGGGTGAGTGAGTGGGTGAGTGAGTGAGTGAGTGCGTGAGTGAGTGGGTGAGTGGGTGAGTGAGTGAGTTTGTGAGTGGGTGAGTAAGTGGGTGTGTGAGTGATTGAGTGGGTGAGTGAGTGTGAGAGTGGATGAGTGAGTGAGTGGGTGAGTGTGTGAGCGAGTGGGTGAGTGGGTGAGTGAGTGTGTCATTGGGTGGGTGAGTGGGTGAGTGGGTGAGTGGGTGAGTGAGTGGGTGAGTGAGTGAGTGGGTGAGTGAGTGAGTGGGTGAATGAGTGAGTGGGTGAGTGGGTGAGTGGGTGAGTGAGTGAGTGAGTGTGTGTGAGTGAGTGGGTGAGTGAGTGAGTGTGTGAGTGTGTGGGTGACTGTGTGAATGTGAGTAAGTGAGTGGGTGAGTGTGTGTGTGTGTGTGGGTGAGTGAGTGGGTGAGTGAGTGGGTGAGTGAGTGAGTGAGTGGTTGAGTGAGTGAGTGAGTAGGTGGGTGAGTGAGTGAGTGGGTGAGTGTGTGAGTGAGTGAGTGTGTGAGTGGGTGAGTGAGTGAGTGGGTGAGTGTGTGTGAGTGAGTGGGTGAGTGAGTGAGTGAGTGGGTGAGTGTGTGAGTGAGTGAGTGTGTGAGTGGGTGAGTGAGTGAGTGGGTGAGTGAGTGAGTGAGTGGGTGAGTGAGTGAGTGTGTGAGTGGGTGAGTGAGTGAGTGGGTGAGTGTGTGTGAGTGAGTGGGTGAGTGAGTGAGTGGGTGAGTGTGTGAGTGAGTGAGTGTGTGAGTGGGTGAGTGAGTGAGTGGGTGAGTGTGTGTGAGTGAATGGGTGAGTGAGTGAGTGGGTGAGTGAGTGGGTGGTTGAGTGGGTGGCTGGGTGAGTGAGTGGGTGAGTGTGTGAGTGTGTCTGAGTGTGTGAGTGAGTGAGTGGGTGTATCTCCTCTCGTACTACAGCTATAAAAGTCTTACTGCTCCGCCCAATATCGCCACTCAACCCGACGTTCCCTCGACGTTCGCTCGACGTTCCAGCGACTCAACAACCTCTCAACAACCTCCATCTCGTCAATCTCACCATGAAGATCATCCTCTTCACCCTGGTCAGCCTCGCCATCTGTGGAGGTGAGCGAATAATCATAATCATCATCAGTAGTAGTAGTATTATCAGTAGTATCATCATCATCATTAGCAGTATTATCATCATCAGTAGTAGTATCATCATCATCAGTAGTAGTATCATCATCAGTAGTATTATCATCATCAGTAATAGTATTATCATCATCAGTAGTATCATCATCAGTAGTAGTATCATCATCAGTAGTAGTATCATCATCAGTAGTAGTATCATCATCATCATCAGTAGTAGAATCATCATCATCATCAGTAGTAGTATCATCATCATCAGTAGTATCATCATCATCAGTAGTAGTATCATCATCATCAGTAGTAGTATCATCATCATCAGTAGTAGTAGTATAGTATCATCATCATCAGTAGTAGTATCATCATCATCAGTAGTAGTATCATCATCATCAGTAGTAGTATCATCATCATCATCAGTAGTAGTGTCATCATCATCAGTAGTAGTGTCATCATCATCATCAGTAGTAGTATCATCATCAGTAGTAGTAGTATCATCATCAGTAGTAGTATCAGCATCATCATCAGTAGTATCATCATCAGTAGTAGAAGCTGCACACACAGTAGTAGTAGTATCATCTTCAGTAGTAGTATCATTATCATCATCATCAGTAGTATCATCATCAGTAGTAGTATCATCATCATCAGTAGTAGTATCATCATCAGTAGTAGTATCATCATCAACATCAGTAGTATCATCAGTAGTAGTAATATCATCGTCATGAGTAGTAGTATCATCATCAGTAGTAGTAGTAGTATCTTTCTCTGTCTGTGTGTCCGTGTCTCTGTGTGTTTGTCTCTCTCTATGTGTGTCTGTGTGTGTCTGTGTGTGTCTGTCTGTGTGTGTGTCTGTGTCTGTGTGTGTCTGTGTCTGTGTGTGTCTGTGTGTCTGTGTGTCTTTGTCTCTCTCTGTGTGTCTGTGTTTGTCTCTCTCTGTGTGTGTCTGTGTCTGTGTGTGTTTCTCTCTCTCTATGTGTGTCTGTGTGTGTGTCTGTCTGTGTGTGTGTCTGTGTGTGTTTCTCTCTCTCTATGTGTGTCTGTGTGTGTGTCTGTGTGTGTGTCTGTGTATCTGTGTGTGTTTCTCTCTCTCTATGTGTGTATGTGTGTGTGTCTGTCTGTGTGTGTGTGTCTGTGTGTGTGTCTGTGTGTGTCTGTCTGTGTGTGTGTGTCTTTGTGTGTGTCTGTGTGTGTCTGTCTGTGTGTGTCTGTCTGTGTGTGTGTGTCTGTGTGTGTATGTGTTTGTGTGTCTGTGTTTGTGTGTCTGTGTCTGTATCTGTGTGTGTCTGTGTGTTTGTCTCTCTCTATGTGTGTCTGTGTGTGTGTGTGTCTGTGTGTGTCTGTGTGTGTGTGTCTGTGTTTGTGTGTCTGTATCTGTGTGTGTCTGTGTGTTTGTCTCTCTCTATGTGTGTCTGTGTGTGTCTGTGTGTGTCTCTATGTGTGTCTCTGTGTGTCTGTGTGTGTGCGTCAGTGTGACCGGCTCCAGTTTAACAGCAGAGGTCTCACTCCGAATCAGTCGAGCGGCAATATCTTTTCATCGGTTGCGTAACGCTGTGTGGAAGCTACCTGGTCTGTCGCTCCGCACTAAGCTTCAGGTCTTCTCGGCCACGGTCATTCCCTCCCTTCTCTACGCTTGCGAAACGTGGACCCCTCGAATGGAACATCTTCGCCGGTTAGAAACATTTAGGCTGGCCTGCCTACGATCCACCCTGGGTTTAACCAGGCTGGATTGTGTGAGGAGCTCACAGATCCTTGAAAGATCTGGGCAAGGTCCCATCGGTGAGCTCCTCCGGCGGGCAAGGCTGCGATGGCTGGGTCATGTAGCCCGCATGCCCAGCCACCAGCATGCCGAAACAGCTTTTGTTCGGCTGGATCGAGGGGGCTAAACGGGCGCGGCACGGGCTAGAGAAGAGATGGAGTGATGTGGTACAGGAGGACGTGGAGCTGAGTGGACTTGCCGATGACCGGTACCAGCGGTGTAAAGATTGTCCTCTGTGGAGGAGGCTCGTGAAGGACGCTACTGGGCAGTTGTAGGCAGTCGCCCTCCAACAACAGCGGAGGGCGGAGGAGCGACGCTCACAACAACGAGCGGAGCGCCGGGTGGCTAAAGCACAGCAGGTTGGCACAGTAGGGGGCACAGGTGGTGCATCAGCCAGTCATCTCAGTCATCTCAGTCAGTCGACCCGTGGCACCTGGGTCTGCCCCGTGACCTCCTGCCAGCGGGCGTTTAACACTTCACGTGGCCTCAAGGTGCACATAGCCTGGCACAAGCGTCGTGGTGACGTCACCGCCACTTAGTGGCGAATGGCGGTTGTTGTTGTCTGTGTGTCTGTATCTGTGTGTGTCTGTGTGTGTCTGTGTGTGTCTGTCTGTGTGTGTCTGTGTGTGTCTCTCTCTATGTGTGTCTGTGTGTATATGTGTGTGTCTATGTGTGTCTGTGTGTGCCTGTCTGTGTCTGTGTGTGTGTGTCTGTCTGTCTGGACGGGTGCGAGGGGCTGGTAACCCCTCCACCTTCAAAAATTTACCAGTATACCACGACTGAAATATGTAACTAATAAGCTTGTTCCGGAGGCCCCGGGGGGCCAGGCGTCTATGACGTCTCCTGGCCAAACCCCAATTGGCGGAGCCAGGAGATTGAATCTCTACCCTCGGGGCTCCTCCAGAAACAACGAAAAGCCACTTCGTGTGGCCACGTGGAATGTTCGAACGCTCACTGCGGAGGAGAGGCTGCCGCTCCTCTGTCGGGAGCTGGACCGGCACCACCTGGATCTCTGTGGCATTCAGGAGGTCCGGTGGACCGGTTCTGGCTCCTGCCACCATGAGGGGTGGACAGTCCTCTACTCGGGGCAGCAGACTGCCAAACAACAGGGTGTGGCTCTTCTTTTGAACAAACGAATGAAGGGGGCGTGGGAGCGTGGCGGTGAGGTGTGGGAAGCTGTAAGCCCCAGGCTACTTTGGGCTCGCCTTCCCATCAACCAGAGGCGAGGAGTGGTGGTCGTGATTACTTATGCCCCAACCGAAGACGAATATCTGTGGAGGGATGCAGGCAAGGCCGATGAGTCGGATGCCTTCTATGACCTCCTGTCACAGGTGCTGGCTAAAGTGGCCCCTCAGGATAGAGTCATCTTGTTGGGTGACTTCAATGCCCGAGTTGGTCATGATGCTGGCACCTGGTCTGGACTGATTGGAGGGCATGTGCCAGATCAGCTCAATAACAACGGTAGGAGGCTGTTAGATTTTTGTGCAGCCCATGGGCTTGTAATTACCAACACGCTGTTCCGGCATCGACACATCCACACAACATAATGGATGCATGCTGGGTCCAAGCAAGAACATCTGCTGGACTACATAGTAATGGACCAGCGGATGCGAGCCCATGTCCTTGACACCAGGACCTACCGTGGAGCTGATCTGCCCTCTGACCATCGACTAGTCATCTGTAAGATGCGCCTGCCATTCTTCCACTCCGGTGGTGGGTGTACACCCAGGACCCCATTCCAACCTAAAGTGGCCTGGTCTCAGCTGATGAAAGTTGCAAGCGAGAATTTCATCATCGTTTGCAGCTGGGATTGGCATCGTCCCCACTCCTCCTGATGTCGAGGGTAAATGGGCGATGTTTAGGACTGTGACTCATGCAGCTGCAATGGCTGCTTTGGGTACGCGGTCCAGACCTCCCCAGAGACCCTGGCTGACAGAGGAGGTGTTCAGGATGGTTGAGAAAAAGCGACAGGCCCACTGTCATCGGCTACAGAATCCCACGTCAGAGAATGAGGAGGCTTACCGCAGCCTTCACTCGGAGGTTCAGGGAGCCGTGAGGCACTGCAAAGATGGGTGGTGGTCGCGGGTTGCTGAGGAGATGGAGTCTGCCTCAGTGGCCCGCGATCACAAATCTCTATTTAACCCCATCAAAAAAGTAACCTGCAGTGCAACACCTATTACCATCATTAGGGGAAAAAAACGGTGATCCAATCTCCGACCCCCAGGAACATTTTTGCAGATTTGCTGAGCATTTCTGTGAGGTCCTGGGGGAGGGGAAATCCCTCAGCCAGTAAAACATCGTGGCACAAAGTGGGGATGACCCTGCTGAGGCTGCGGTGCCTCAAATATTGGAAGAAGTCACTCCCTGTGAGTGGCTGGCTGAGGTGCCATCTTTTGAGGAAGTACTGAAGGCGATCCGGAGTCTGAAACCAGGAAAGGCAGCGGGCAGAGATGATCTCCCAAGCGAAATGCTGAGGGAGGGCGGCGTTTGTGCACAGACTGCCCTATATGACATCATAACAACAGTCTGGACCACTGGACGGGTTCCGCAGGATTGGAAGGATGCCCTGGTGGTCCCCCTCTTTAAGAAGGGGGACCGCACAGACTGTAACAACTGCAGGGGCATCTCACTCCTCAGTGTGCTGGGAAAGGTCCTGGCAGGGATTATTCAACATCGCCTTGCCAGGCACGCTGAGGAGAGGCTTGCAGAGCCCCAATGCGGTTTCAGGAAAGGGCGGTCCTGGACAGATGCCATATTTTCTGTCCGTCTGCTACAGCAGAGGTGTAGGGAATTCCAACAAGACCTACATCTCTGCTTTATTGACCTGGTCGAGGCCTATGATACCATCAGTAGGCCTGGGCTCTGGGTTGTTCTTCGTGCTTTTCGGAGTCTCTGATCCTCTGCTCACGATCATTAAGGACCTTCATGATGGTGAGCGGGCCCGGGTAAAACTACGTCGCCGGGAGTCAGAGCCATTCCCTGTACACCTTGGGGTGCGACAGGGATGTCCTCTGGCTCCCACATTATTTAACATCTATTTTGACCACGTAGTTCGTTAATCCTTTAATAGTTGTACCGAATCTCCATATGGTACAGATATTCTGGGAGGCTGATCGATGCCTGGGTGTGGTCAAGGGATGGCTCCCTATTGCTTAACCACGTTATGTATGTCGATGATTTGGTAATAGCTGCTCATTCAGAGGAGGAGTTGGAGATGCTGCTGCTGAGACTGGAGTGTGCCACTAAGAGATGGGGCCTTACCATCAGCCCCACCAAAACTAAGCACATGGCTGGGTATTTTGTACCATCGGACACTCCACCCCCACAACTCCCAATCGGTGATGGGGCAGTTGTGGAGAGAGTGGAGAGTTTCCCATACCTGGGCAGAATGCTTATGACCGGCTCCAGTTTAACAGCAGAGGTCTCACTCCGAATCAGTCGAGCGGCAATATCTTTTCATCGGTTGCGTAACGCTGTGTGGAAGCTACCTGGTCTGT